ACACACACACACACACACACACACATACACACATACACACATACACACATACACACAGTGTGTTTTTCAAGCCACCAGATCCGGGACTTGAACTGCATAGTTGATCATGTGGAATCTAGCTACCTTAAACATCACACCACCTGGCTGGCTTGTATACTATTGTGTTTTGGAGATTTTATTTATTTATTTATTTATTTAAAGTTTTGCTATAGGGCACATGTGCTTGCTAGAGAGAGAGAGAGAGAAACAAACAAAAACTTCCTGGGGGATAACCATGCTGCAATACCTCCTCCTCCACTGTCCTCTCAGGATTTGGGACACATGAGCACATATGCTTGGCATGTTTTTCAAGCTGCTGAGTGTGAGACTTGAACCACACAGTTGATCATGTGGGACCAAATCTCCTTTACCTACCACACCACCTGGCTGTCCATCATTAAGTTATGATAGGTCCATCAGCTCTTAACAATTATAGTCTCAGTCAGAGTTTGACAAACTTTTCTGAAAAGGACTGCATGATGCATATTTTCAACTTGTGGGCCATCCCAGTTCTGCTGCAACTACTCAGTGTTGTCATTGTATGGCTAAAACTGCTTTATGTAAACAAATGGGTATGGCAGGGTTCCAGTTAAACTCTATTGACAAAAATGAATGATGAAGACCAGCAGGTGGCGTAATGGTTATGTTGCTGAACTCCCAAGTAATCGACCATAGTTCAAGTCCCGGACCTGGTGGCTTAAACCTCATGCCAGGATGGGACCATCAGATGGCACAATGGTTATGCTGCTAAACTCCCACATGGTGAACTGTGATTTGAATCCTAAACCAGACAATTTGAAACTCACACTGGGCATGTGTGCATGTGTGCCCAAAATCCTCCTCTCAGGAGGAGAAGGGATTATGCGGTACAGCCAATCCCCTGGGAGGTGATTTCTTGCTTTCTGTCTTTCTGGCAAATGCATGAGTCCTATAGCAAAAATAAAAAATCTCTCTTTAAAAAAAAAAAGAATGATGAGGCTACCCTCATAGTACAGTGATTAAGGGAATCAGATCCTACGTGACTGACTGAAGTCCAAATCCTAGCCCTGGTAACTTGAAAAACACATTGAGTACTATGTGCATGCCTGCCCAAAATGCCTATGGGTTGGAGAAATGGAGGAGAATTGTGACATGACCAAGGGGGGAGTGCTTCCATCCCCCACACCATCTATTTCTCTCTGGCTAGTACACAAGCCCTCTGCAATAAAATAAATAAAACTTGATTGTGCCTGAGATTTCCCAGGGACTGTAGTTTGTAGACTCTGGTCCAGATCATCGGTTGTCAACATGTGATCCCTTGAATGGAAGCACCAGCATCCTTGGCATTGTCTGGGAATTTGGGAGAAATGTAAATTCACGAGCCCTCCCCCAAACTACTGCATCAGAAACTGGAGATAAGGCTCAACAATCCGTTTTAACAAAACATACCCCCAAATGGGAAAACCCTTGTTCAGGATCTGTGATATACACCGTGTGGGCTGTGCATCAGCAACATGGAACACAGCACCGTGTCATCTGGGAACATGCGAGAAATGTTTACATAATTTTGGGGCCTCTCACCTTGCCACTACTGAATGTGCACTTTAACAAGATCCTCAGGTGATTCACCTGCACATTCAGGTCTGAGAAGCACCTACCTAGGTGATGCCAATGCTGCTGATGGTGCGTGGGCCACGCCGAGTGGCACTTACAGGGCAGTTTTTCTGTCACCTTCAAGCAGTTTCTCCCTCCTGTTGTGTAAGTACTAGCACTTGCATTAGTGCTGAATTGGTTTATTTGAACTTCACGTCGTGGTGGGTTACAACCCCTCGTATACGACCACACTACCACATGTACCCAGTTATGATGTTGTAGCCTGCCCCTTCCCTACTGCACCCCCTTCCCCAGCATGGTATATGCCCAGATTCCCAGGTCCTTCTCACCCACAGTCTCATCTATTAAGGACTTTGGCGCATTCTTGTATTAGAATGTTTCTATTGCCCTCTCCCCTCAAGGAATCTATGTGGATAATTTTTTCCTAATAGTTCCCAGGAATTTTCCCCCCATAGGGCATGTATGCTCACAGGAAAGGAGAGAGAGAAAAAGATAGAGACAGGGAAAGTGAGAAATTACTCCCCAGGGGTATGACCAAGCTGCAGTCCCTTCTCTCCCCTCTCCTTTCATGATTTTGGGTACACATGCACACGTGTTTGGTGTGAGTTTCAAGCTGCCAGATCCGAGACTCAAACCATATTTGGCCATGTGGGAGTCTAGTGCCTTAACCAGCATGCCACCTGCTGTCCTTCCTCCATAAAATTTTAATCCCATGGATATACTATATATTCAATTATGTGTTATGTGCACACCTAGGCCTTGTACATGAAAGAGTAGACTTATTTTCATCCCACCAACTTATTCTCACCCCTGTGGGGCTGATAGTACTGTTTTCTTCTTTTCCTCACTAAGAATAGATGTATTAGAGCGAGCCTGGAGGGAGATAATCTGGTCCATAGCCACTCTGAAGAATCTGCATACGTAAATTAGCCTTCCATATTTCAGGGATACCTGAGGACAGGAGTTAATCCAAGGGAAACATCTCTTTGGCAAGGGCAGCCTTCAGAACCTGTTATCCATGAAAAGCTCACAGCCTGAGCTGGAGTTTTTAAAGATACAACCAAAACTTTGTCCTTGAATTTGTCAAAACGTCTTGATGCCACTACCCTATACCCGCCCTTTGAGCTAGGGAATCCTCCTGCACGCCTATTTTATCTTCTGCAACAAAGAGGCCTTCCTCCTTTTAAAAAATGATTTTTCGGGAACCAGCAGTTAGCATAATGGCTATGTTGCTGGACTCTCACGTAGTTGACCGTGGTTCGCATCCTGGACCCGGCGGCTTAAAACTCACGCCGGGCGCGTCTGTGTGCGTGCCCAAGATCCTGAGAGGAGAATGGAGGAGAAGGGATTGTGGCGTGGCCATCCCCCCTGGGGGATGATTTCTCGCTTTCTGTCTCTCTGTCTCTCTCTGTCTGTCTGGCAAGTGCACGCTCCCTACAGCGAAAAACCTCTCAAATAAATAAATAAATAAATGAATAAATAAATAATTTTTCAAGACTTTTTCCAATAACCTTCTATCTTCTCTAGAATTTTGCCCCATCCAATTTTTCTCCATTTTTCTAATGTTACACTCTCCCTCCCTTACCTAAAGTCTTCTTGGCTGCATTCAGATAATGCACAAATCTCCCTTATTGCAGAGAAATATTTTGTTGACTTAACGTAGCTTCATCTGTTCGTCTCTACACTTCTCGAAAGATGGTCCTTGCATCCTCTCCTCACCTACACACCCCTAGCAGTGTATGAGAGCATGTGATTTGGGGTCCTATGGGTCTGTTTTTGAGTTCCGGTGCCTTCTTGAAGTCATTTTGTTATCTCTGGCAAATTACTTGATTCCTCTAAATTTATCTTCTCTGTTAAATGTAATCCTTGTAAGAGTATTAGGAGTTATAAAATGAAATAAGCCCTAACATAGACCTTGGTCCATAGGAAGTTACATTCAAATTTAGTGATTTGGTTTTTTTCTTTCATTTTAATTTATTAATTTACTTTAGGCTTTTGCCATAGAGCGTGTGCACTCTCTGGAGAAAGAGAAAGGGAAAGGGAAAAATCACCCCCCATCCCTCATGGAGGATAACCATGCTGTAATCCCTTCTTCTCTAGTCTTCTCTTGGGATTTGGGGCATACATGTACATGTGTCTGGCCTGACTTTCAAGCTGCTGAGTCTAGGACTCAAACTGTGATCGGTCATGTGTGAGTCCAGAGCCTTAACCACCAGGCCACCTGCTGGCTCCCCAGCTTCATCTTTGATTTTGTTTTGACACTGTGTTGGTCAGTCTATAGATAAATGGAACCAAACTGTGGTGCTTATTAAAAATAATGATATAGCTTATCTAGTAGTATTTATTTTTAACTATTACCAGAGAACTTCTAATTTGGTGTTGTTTTGGTCATTTTTAAAAGATACTCAAAGAAGGATTACAGAAATATACATATCCTCCAGAAACTACAGAAGACCTTGAAACAGAGAACGTTTTCCCACCTATCGACGTCACACTTAAGGTTCACAAGAATGTAATCTTTTTTGAGGATCCTATGGTTGTAAGGTGGGATGCTGAAGGTACAGCAATTGTTCTATCCAGTTTTCACAATTAGTCAAAGTGAGAGAAGTTCTTAAACTAAAAGAGAAAATGTAGTGTATAAACTAAGTTTCTTATATATGTCTATGCCAGTTCTAGGGTCTTTATTTTGTTTGTTCTTGACAGAAATAAATAGAAGTTGGAGTGTAAAAGTTGACTGAATTTTATATTTACTAGTTCCTGAAGTGCTTATATCTATCATAGTCTATGAAAAATTACTTATGGTTATGCCATTATGTTTTTAAAAAAGAAAATGAATGAAAATATCAAGATAGTTTAGCAAATCAAAACAAAAATAACAAACATACTCTCCCTTGAATTAACCAAGTAAGATTGCGGTGATTAATATTTTACTATTTTCATGTTAATCACTTATAAATTGCATGCAAGTATTTTGGGTGGGTAATGGGTAAATGGAAAACCTGAGAAAGTGGAAAACTAGCCACTGCATTGCTTTTTCAAAATAGTTCTTGAACCACTGGGAATGTTTCGTTTTATTTATTTATTTGTTGATTTGAGAGGTTTTTGCTATAGGGTGCGTGCACTCACCAGAAAGACAGAGAGACAGAGAGACAGAAAGCGAGAAATCACCCTACAGGGGGGATGGCCACACCGCAATCCTTTCTCCTCCATTCTTCCCTTGGGATCATGGGCACGCATGCACACGCACCCAGCATGAGTTGAAGCCACCAGGTCTGGGACTCAAACTGCAGTAGACTACATGGGAGTCCAGCAACATAGCCATTATGCTAATTGCTGGTTCCTGTTTTGTTTTATTTTGAAAATTGCTTTTTTAAAAAAATTTAATCCCAGGACCAGCAATTAGTGTAATGGCTATGTCACTGGACTCCCATGTAGTCAACCATGGTTCGAGTCCTGGACCTGGTGGCTTAAACTAACAGTGGGGGTGTGTATTTGCATGCCCAAGATCCCGAGGGGAGAATGGAGGAGAAAGGATTGTGGCGTGGCCATCTCCCCGGGGGTGATTTCTCGCTTTCTGTCTCTGTCTTTCTGGCGAACGCACATGCCCTATAGTGAAAACCTTTCCAAAAAAAAAAGAAAAAAAAATTAATCCCAGGACCTCAGATGGCATAATGGTTATGTTGCAGGACTCCCATGTAGTAGACCATGGTTTGAGTCTTGGACCTGGCAACTTAAAACTCATGCTGGGCACGGATGCATGCATGCCCAAAATCCTGAGAGGAGAATGGAGGAGAAGGGAATTCTGATTTTTGGTCTCTTTGCCTCTCTCTGTCCCTCCAGCGAGCACATACACCCTAATAGCAAAAATCTCTCTTAAAAAAATAAAAAAGTGAGAGAGAAACAGACAGAGAGGCACTCCTAACAAGGCCCTCACTCGGTCATCTACCCCAGTCTCAGTCAGCCTGGACCATGAGCATGTGTGCCTGTGCTCAGGAATGTCCTGGGATGTGAACCTAGGAGGACGCTTCCCACGTGGGTCCTCTCATGTACCCCTGTGCTGCCAGCTGACCCTAGAGATGATTGCTTATTGAAAGTATTAAATAAATGTTAATAAAATCAGAAGTACCAACAGGAACTAAAAACTAATGAATGTTAGTTATTAACAAATACCTATTTTGGGATAGGCTGGTGGAATTTTGAAAGGTCTTGGTCTTATAAGATAATCTGCACGGTGTTAAGGATCCTAACTGAAAGCCGTGTAGCTTAGTTTTTCAGGTTATTTTACAACCATCTATTTGTGAAAGGATTTACACAATTGGTTATAGGCTATGAACAGCTAATATCCCTAAGGTATAAAATCTAACTTTGGGTACAGGGCAAAGAAGTTAAGAACTACTACCAAGAAGAGTAAATATTTTGTATTTTGAAATTTTTCATGAGAGCTCCAATGTTTCACATTTTTGCTTTTATAGATTGAAGTGCAAGTTACTATTTATAGTTTAGAAATAAATTATGTATTAAGAACAAATTTCTAATGACACATTAAACTTTAAAGTACATCAAAATGAATAGTTACATAATTTCTCCTTTCATGCTGCTTTAGAAGTGTCACCTTAATAGTAATGTTCCTAAATATTTATCACATCAAAGATTATTCACACTAAGAATTAAACAATGTAAGTTATCTCACATGATTAAGGAAAATGTAACTTCTGAAAAATTAGATGTTGAAGTCGCATTTAAAAAATGTAAACAGGCAGGAACCAGCAGTTAGCGTAATGGCTATGTCACTGGACTCCCACGTAGTCGACCGTGGTTGGCGTCCCAGACCCGGTGGCTTAAAACTCACACCGGGCGTGTGTGCGTGCGTGCCCAAGATCCCACGAGGAGAATGGAGAACGGATTGTGGCGTGACCATCCCCCCCTGGGGGGTGATTTCTCGCTTTCTGTCTCTATGTCTGTCTCTGTCTGGTGAGCGCACATGCCCTATAGCAAAATACAAAACACCCCCCCCCCGCCAATATATATATATATATATAAAAACGGGAGGGGATAAAAGTTTTCAAAAACTAGATTATATAGGAGCAGAGAGAAAGCAGGCCCAATGGAGGCAGCTCTTCACCCAAGACCCCTGCCAATGCTATTTGGCCCTCAAGACCACCCCACCATCCCTGTAGCCACAGGGTACGAAGGAGCAGAGGGTAAACAGGCCTGACCAAAGGCAGCTCTTTACCCAAGCTCCACGCCCATTCTAGGGTGTTGAAGGAAGGCCTGTTTTAGCCCTTGAAATCGACCTCGTTTCTGCAACCAAGGGGCAAGATGGAGTAAAGAGAAAGGTCTTGATCAGACACAGCTCCTTACCCAAGCTCCCTGATTATTCTAGGTGTGATTTGTCCCTTCAGACCAACATTCCCATGTAAGCAGCTATAGAGTAAGAGGGAAGGAGGAGCCATCCATTTTGGGCTAATTCCAGTTTACCTTCCATTCAACTAGAAGCACAGAGAGAGCAGGTCTGACCAGAGGTGGCTGTTCACCCAAGTGCCCTCTCATTCTAGGGTGTGGGAGGAGGGCCATTTGGCCTCTAGATCACACCCTCCTTCTTGTAGGCACAGGATAATCAGGTATAAGGAGCCATCTCTCTAGTGCTATTTCCAGTTGGAACATTACCCAAGTATGAGCAGAGAGCAAGGAGGCCCGACTGGAGGCAACTCTTACCCAGCCCCCTGCCCATTTTAGAGTGTGGGAGGAGGGCAGTTTTTGCTCCTCAAGACCACTCCTTCTATTCCTGTATCCAAAGTGTAAGAAGGAGCAGAGAGAAAATGGACCCAACCTGAGGAAGCCCTTCACCCAAGCCTCCTGGACATTCTAGGATTAGGGAAGAGGTCTTGTTTTGTCCCTCAAGACTAACTACCCCATTGTTGTAGCCACAGGGTATGAAGGTAGGAGGAGCCATCTTTCTTGTCCTAATTCCAGTTTAGCCTCCACATACTAGGAGCAGAGTAAGAGCAGGCTTGATTTGAGACAGCTCTTCACTCAAGTCACCTGTCCATTCTGGGGTGTGGGAGGAGGACCATTTGTAACCTTCGAAATTACTTTTTTTTTTTTCTTTTGCAGTCTGAAACCAGCCACTGTTTATTTACTGACCAGGTTACAAAAACAATCATGGTGGATACCTTAGTTCATCTTTCTAATAAGTCTGTTGACCTGGTCTTCCCTGTTGCCAGCATCTCCACCTTCTACAAAATGGGTGGTCTTTTTCTTCATTCCACCTCGTGGAGAAGATAATTTGAAGGGCCACAGGAAGTTATTTGCTTCTTTGAAGCATTTTCCAACAGTATAGATTTCATGAATCAGATCCTTCATGCAGATGATGCCGAATTTACCAAGAGATCATGCAAAGAGTTATCTGTCAAAGCAATTCACCTCTTATTGATTTTGCCATAACTACATTTGTAGATCAGTTTATTTACTGACTTCAGGTTCGGGTACCCCCATGCTATGGTTCCACAATTCTCAGCATGTTAATTGAGGCCTTGTTGAGTTTAACAAAGGTGCCATTGAAGATCTGGCGAAGACGAAGAAGCTGCAATACCTTTCGAACCCCTGGGCTCACTCCATTGATATCTCTGATCCTGATGACAAATGCCAATTTGGGTTCTGCAGGTACATGGAAGTTGCCAGCTTTTCTTGCCATCCTGGCCACGCGAATCTCAGTTCTGTACATCTGTCTATACTCCTTATGATAGTGCTTAGCTTTTTCATAGATAAGCTTCCTCCTTGCCTTTTGAAGCATCTTTTGAGTAAACTTCTTTCTCAGGCGCTTGATCTTCAACTCTGCAAAATTCCTTCGCTTTTTCTTAAGGGTTTCTGGCACAGCAGGAACCTTTTTCTTGGTGGCTTCCGCGGCAGCAGGAGCCTTTTTCTTGGTTTCTGCCACAGCAGGAACTTTCTTTTTCTTCTCTTGAACACCCTCCATGGTTCCAGCCGGCAAAAAGCCAAAATTACCCTTTCTGTACTTACACCACAAGGAGCAGAGAGCAGTCCCAATGTGAGGCAATACTTTACCCAAGACCCCTGCCCATTTTAGGGTGTGGGAGGAAGGAATGTTGTGGTCTTTGAGACCACAGGACCCCATCTCCTGCCATTACTGCAGCTATAGGGAGCCGAGAGAAAGGACCAACTGGAGGCCATTCTTCACCCAAATCCCTCTCTGCCTGTTCTAGGGGTATAAGTTGGGCCTATTTCAGCCCTCTGTACTACCCCTTCTATTCTTACAACCAGAATTTAAAAGGAGCAGAGAGAAAGCAGGCCTGACTAGAAGCAACTCCTTACCTAATCTCTCTGCACATACAGGATGTGGGAGTAGGGCCTGTTTTGTCTCTCAGGACTGCCCATCCCTCTTCTTGCTGCCACCGGGAACATAGAGAAAGCAGGCCTGAATTGAGGTAGCTCTTCACCCAGACATCTTGAGCTGTCTAGGGTAAAGCCTTTCAGACCATCCTCCCATTCCTGTAGGCACAGGGCACAAAGGTAGGAGGAGCCCTTTTCCTTGTGCAAA